GACTTGCTTCCTTCCCTGGGGAACCCTGGAGCCAGATGTCCTTGCCGAGCCCCGCCTGCTGGCTGCCCTTGCTGGCTCGTTACTTCAGAGAGAGAGAGAGAGAGATGCAGCGGGCATGTGCTCCAGCTCCCGCCCTCCTCACCCCCCATCCCTGAGTGTGGCCCCCTTGGATTAGACAAAGAAGGAGGGGGTAATGCCAAGGAGGAGGATCCGAGGATCCTTCCAGGTGACTCTGAGGCCGACCTGCAAAAGGGGGCGGAGCAGATGCTCAGGAGGGTGGACTTCAGAGCCCGTGCTCAGCTCCCCAGCCCCCTGACGGTGGGCTGGGACAGGCTCCTCACTCTCTCTGTTTCCTCGTTTGTTACATAGGAACAGCAATCCTGCCCATGTCATAAAGGTGGCCATGCTCGTTCACTGGGCCTGTAACAGTTCTGGGAATGTGGGAAGCCCGGTACCCGTGTTGCCTGCTGTGGCCTGTACAGACCAGAGAGTGACGGACCAGCTTTGAACGGCTTGCATGCACACACTTTCCACAGGAGGTCAGCTCTGTTCCCCCATCTTTGACCCTGGACGGGCCTTGTGACGTTCTTCAGCCAACAGAACACAGTCAGAATGACTTGGGGGCCTCTGACAATCGGCCTCCAGTGGCTTTGTAGCTCCTGCTCTTGGGGAGCTCTGTCCGGCCCCTGCGGGGTGGTGGAGAACCTAGGCACCCAGCTGAGAGCCACATGCACTGCCAGACCGAGGCGTGAGGCCACCTCCAGCTCCAAGGCAGCCCCCAGGGGCCTGCAGCTGTTTGGGGAGCCCCAGCCCAGAGCATGAGGGACCTGATCCCAATGGAATCGTGAGCAAGCACATGGGCATTTTTGGAAGCCTCCGGATTTGGGGAGACCTAGAAGTCAGTTTCACCGGCAGCCTCGGCACTTCCTGTGGGGCCCGCACAGGGGGCTCCTGGTGGGCTCTCCGTCCACCCCTTGCTCCCAGTCCTGGAAGCCACTGTTGTTATTTCTGCTCAGATGCTAGACGCCGGCCTGGTCGCTCAGGAAGTATCAGCTGGCCAAAAAGTTCATCTGTTTTTTCCCATATAGTGGCTCTAGTAGCACTTAGTTGTCTTTAACTTTATTGGAAACAATTTTGTTAGATTGCAGTCTGACAGTCGTCCTATCAGTGTGCATTTAAAAAAGACACTTGTCAAAATTGGTGAATTTTCATGTAGTTATTTTAGTATTGAAGATGGAAGAAAATAAGCAACATTTTTGGCATGTTATGCTTTATTATTTTAAGAAAGGTAAACGTGCAGCTGAAACACAAAAAAAGCTTTGTGCAGTGGACGGAGAAAGTGCTGTGATGAATTGAATGTGTCAGAAGTAGTTTGTGATGTTTCTCGCTGGAGATTTCTTGCTGGATGACACAGTTGATAGCGATCAAATCGAAACATTAATTGGGAACAATCGACATTATACATGGGGGAGACAGCCCACATACTCGAAATATCCAAATCAATAAGGTTATTGGTGAAAATGAAAAATGTGTCTTTTAGTTCACAGAAAAAGCTAAAGGGACTTTTTGGCCAATCTAATACAAAGCTCTAAGCAGGCCAACAAGAGCGGCTATGTTAGGAGGGTTGCACAACAGAGGGAGGAAGGTCGAGTTCAACACCCAACTGTCACTCACTGACGGAGAAAGAGGGGAGGACCAGATGGGAACATTAACCAAGCAGTAGTTAGAGTCCTTTTAAGAAGATTCTATTAGAACATACAAAAAAAAAAAAAGTTCTGGGGCCAAAAAAACTCCCCCCAAACCACCATGATTTTTAAGTTAAAAAACTTATTAGATAACTTGAAAAAAGAGGATAGTCTTTGTTGAAATTCAAATAATTCATACACAGGGGGAAAAAGAAAAGTTAAAAAGATATAAATTGCAAAGCCAAGGAGACCTGGAGGACAGGCCACAGGGAGAAGGTGGGGAAAACACACAGTAATAGGCAAGCGATAAAGATGGCGCTGATCGGAGGAAAGGAGTGGGACCACAGAGCAGAGGGACTCACAGACCCCCAGGCAGGGGTGTCTCTGAGAGGATGGGCATCTAGACCTTTCCCCACGAACCTCTGGAGTCCAGGGACAAAGAAGCCTCCAATGTCAGGTAACTTTAAAAAGAGCAAGAATTAGCCTTGGCTGGTGTGGCTCAGTGGCTTGAGCACAGGCTGTGAACCAAAGGGTCCTGGTTCAATTCCCAGCCTGGGTTGCGGGCCAGTAGGGGGCGTGTGAGAGGCAACCACACATTGATGTTTCTCTCCCTCTCTTTCTCTAAAAATAAAAAAAGGAAATAAAATATTTTAAAAAATAAAAATATTTATACATTCACAAAGCTCCCCCAGCAAGAAGGGACGGATCTCTGCACCCAGCCGACTCCCGTTGTCTAAATGGTGCCCATCGAAGACAGGTCTGCCTGTCCCCTCACCCCAAACCCCTCTCACCAAGCCAACACTCTCTCTCGGACTCACACCCTACCACCCGGATGTGTCATTGAAACTTTTCTTCGGCCCCTAACGCTGAGATACTGACAGTCGTTGCAGTTTTGTGACACCCCCCTAATGACAAGCAGCAGTTGGATCCACACGAGGATGTACCTGGTGGGGAGGAAGTCTCCGTTGGTGGCAGGGCTTGCCTAGGCCGAGAGTCAACCGGTCATTTGGTGGAGGGTAGTGCCTGCAGGAAACGAGAGCAGCGCGGGCGGGCGCAGGGCCCGCCTATTTCCCTGCACTCCAGCCTCGTGCAGCTCACGATGGACACTCTGCGGTGTGCTGCGCCCCCATGTGCTATTTGCTTTCGGATCTTGCCGGTCTGGCGTGTGCGCACGGGTCAGGGCAAGGCCCTTGCGGCTGTGCACGCCTGCACAGAACGTGATGATCAGTGCATCCCACATTTTAGTATAAACCCATTTGCAAACAATTTTGAGGATAAAGTATATACATCCCCAGGCCCGGTGCGACTTATGCCTCTTCTGGGATCACTGGTGCTCGACTTTCACCTTTCCTGTGCCTACCGAGGTGCGGAACGATCAAGGACTTGGACGGCAGCCCTGGCGGTGGCCAATCTCCAGAGCCAACTCCAGGCCTCCCGCCCCTGGCACAGACTGGCTTGGGTCCGGCTTCTTAACCCTCCTCATTCCTGCACCGCACTGTCGACCCAGGGACCACTGTTCACTGTTACTACCCTTGTTTTCATAAACTTCAAAAACCCCAGCATGCTTCCCCACTACAAAAAGAGCAAAACCAGAAACCACTGACCTGGAAGTACCGGCAGAAGGAGGTGAACCAGCAGGAGACTGTGGGCGGTTGTCAGAGCTGCACTTTTTTGAGGGAGTTGGTGCTGTTCGTGTTTTATGCCTGTTTTTCGATTTGGGTTTTGGACCCCTTTCCTTTCACGTTGAGTTGTTTATATATTAAATATATTAATTCTTAATCTGTGATATAGGTGGCAAATATTTTTTCCAGTTTTTAAAAACTTGTCTTTGGTCCTATGATTTTTTTTAATCAAACAAAATGTTATCATTTATAGGGAGTCAAATGTATCCATTTTTTATTGCCTTTGAGCCATGTTTCAAAAACTTTTTCTTGCCCCCAGCCTAAGAAGCATTCACCCATGAGGTCTTAGTATGCTTGTCGTTTCATTTTTTTCACTACACCTCGGAGCCATCTGGAGTTCATCCTTGTGCCTGGTGTGGTTGCACCCCCAGTCTGATCTCTTCCCAAATGGCCATCTAGCGGTCCGAGCGCCATCCGTCACAAAGTCTGCCTGACCCAGTGATTTCCGCGTATACCTGGGGTCTCTGGACTTTCTATTCCATTCTTCCGGTCATCTGTCTACTGAAGACGCAAGTCTACCAAAATGTATTTTTGGTAGAGAACCCCAATCCCGCCTCCTCGAATTCAAACTCGGGCGACACTTATCTGGGTCCAAAGTGGAGTAAAATGGTGAGTTAACTCACTCTAAAGGTATCGGTCAACATAATTAGATAAGCCGTCAATAGAGGCACAAGAATGAGAAATCTGCATGCAGCTGATATGACAGGATGTGACAGAATCCACTACGTGTTATCAATATGGCAAGGAAGGAGGATAGAAAATCCACACACAGAAAGCCGTAGTTTTCATAGACAATATAGAGAAAACCCATTGACAACAGCAACACAGAAGATAAAATACTTAGCAAGAAATGTCCCAAAACTGTTCCAAGTCTACGTGAAGGAAACATTAAAACACTCCCCAAGGGCACAAAAGCAGGTTTGGGCAAATGCAGAGTTCTTAGAAAAGATGACTCAATGTAATTAATTTGTCAGTTCGCCCCCCCCCACCCCCCCGTTCATTTATACATTTAATGCAATTTGAATGGAAATACCAAAACATCCTTCCAGGTCGTAAACGGATGCTAAAACTCACGTGGCAGAATAAATATGTAAAAGGAGCTCCGGAAACAGAAAAAGAAAAGCTGGGCACTGAAGAGACTGGGGTGCCGAGATGCCGCCACCTGCCGCCCTGAGCTGGTACTGCAGCCTCTGGGCCAAGCAAATCCGGTCCTATTGGTGTTGATTACCTTTTGGACCCTGAGTGTCGTCTAAAAGGAGGGTTGGTTGCTGCTGCTGCTGCTGCCGCCGCCGCCTTTTTGTTTGCCTTTCATGCCCTCACCAAGGGCCCATATTCTGTGTAGCATCTTTAGAGTTCTGGGCTACAGAATCCAAATCCTGGGGACAGAGCTCAAAGCAGGAAATATCTGTGGTTTAGCCCTGATCCTTATCATGGGGTTTGATTGATGAGAGACTATAAGAATGAAAGAAGGGAGAAAAACTCGTTCCTTGTTGCATCAGCCGTTTTACACACAGGAATTTTTTTTAAATCCTCGTGAAATGGATACTCTAAAAGTCATGTTACAGACTGGAAAACAGTAGCCTAAGCAAATGTACAGGGATGGGTTTTTTAAAATATATTTTATTTATTTTTAGAGAGAGGGGAAGGGAGGGAGAAAGAGAGGAAGAGAAACATCAGTGTACAAGAGAAACATTTATAGATTGACTCTCATACATGTCCCAACCCAGGGCCTGGCCTACAAACCCAGGCAGGTGCCCTGAGTGGGAATTGAACCAGCGACCTTTTGCTTTGCTGGATGATACTCAACCAACTGAGCCATACCAGTCAGGGCCTCTCTTGTCATTTTTAAAATTTGACAATCCAAGGGCAAATAGGTCAGTGAGCGTTTTAAAGATGCTTGCGGCAGCCCTGTGTGCCAGCCGCGGTGCATTGGCTGAACATCGCTGCTTCAGACAATGTAGAGTGAAGATAAGTAACCACCCTCCAGGCTTCACAGCTGCTAAGTGCAAGATCTGGAATGCAAACCCAGATCCTTATTTCCCTCAATTCGGGCTCTTTCCCAGATGCCAAATAGCTTTTGAATAGTGACGGGTGATATTCAACAGAGATTTGTGCTGTCTGCTCATCACCTCATTCAGTTAAAATTTTTTGATCTCAAGAAAGAAGCCTTTCCTCCCCATCTTGGGAACAGGACCTTCGGCCGATTTCCAAGGTCTCCAAATCTCAGCCACCTGGCGCTGCAGGGTGTCCCTCTGTACAAATGTTCCCTCAGTGGCCTGGAGGGTCTGGGAGCCTGGTCCCCGCCTTAGAATGGTCCTGCTCAGATCTTCAGTTGGAAGTCACGGGACGCTGGTACAGTCTGATTATGCCTTCATCATGTAGCCGCTTCCAGAGCGTTCTCTCTAAGTTGAAGTCATGGTTGATATAGAAGACTGTCTTTTTCCACACCGTATCGTAGTAGTGATCCGAGAAGCGCTCGTGGTCCTTGGTGATGAAGCCATAGGCACTCACCTGAGGAAAGGCAGGAGGAGAAATAGGGCTCGCCGTGGCCCCTCCCACCCCCGTCCCAGCTGTCTCTCAGAGGCCAATTGTGTGTGTTGGGCGCTGGTGCTCTTTCTGGGTTTTGTCCCTCGAGGTCTGGGTGCAGGCCCCTGGGTGCACCCACGCAGCCACGCCCACTCTACCCATGGGGACGTGCGGCCAGCCCAGCTGCCGTCCCAGGCTGAACAGGCCCGGAACACACAGAGCAGTCTCCCCAGGTCCCCCTGCTCCTGCGGCACAGCCTCACCTGGTCACAGAGCTGGAGGGCAGTGAGCAGCAGGAGGGCCCCCGTAGTGGGGCGGTATATTCTCCAGTGGGCAGTGTCCAGGGTCTTAGACCTCAAAAACCTGTAAACACCCCCCGAACTGTCAGCAGGCTGCCAGGATGACAGGGCCCCAGCCACTCTGTGTCTCTGCCCCCACCTGTTCTTCATGTATCGGATGGCGTCTGGGTGCAGCAGCAGGTACCTGTCCAACTGCACCGTGTCCTGAAAAGCTTCCTGGGGCCTTCTCCTGTGGGCGGGCCCCTCGTTCAGGCTCAGTCCCCCACCTCATCTGGTAGGGGAACTGTCCCATCCTTCCCAGCCGCTGGCTACACAGCCCAGCCTGGGGGGGCGGGGAGGCCCAGTCAGTACCTGAACCAGAAAAGGCTCCTTTTCACGAGGGTCTGGTTCAGGAGCAGAGCTTCCAGCCAGTCGAAGTCCCGGGAGCCTTCCAGGAAGTGCAGGTAGCGGATGTCCTGGGGACCAAGGACAGCGAGTGGCCCAGGAGCCCTGCCTGTGGTCTGCCCTGCCGTTGCCCCCCCACCCCCCCCGGCTTGTATGAGCTTGTACCAGCTCTGCACTCCCTTCCCCAGAGACTGTGTGGCCAGGCCTATTCCTCCCGCTCACCTTCCCCACAGGCACGTGCTGGAAACCCCGACGGCCCAGTATGTAAAGTGACTGAGTCAGGGAGAAGGCAGTGAAGCCGTAGAAAGATGTCCGAGTACCCACGTCTTGTTCGTAGCCCTCGGTAACGGCTCCGCTCAGTCTGCGCAGGAAGACATGGATCAGACTGGATGCGTGAGCACCAGGGGGAGCGACGTGGAGGCGGGCGGCAAGAGGAAGGAGGGACGGGGAGGCCGCCGTCAGAAACGAAGGTTTTGGGGGAGCCCAGGAATTCCACCTTCCACATACAGGCACGGGAGACCCTGTCAGCTCTCAGAAGAGCCTGTCTTTGCAGGAAAGGCTGGGAGTGGGGGGCAAGGGACAGCTCACCGGAACACGTAGTCATGGCTGTCTATCTCTTGGCCCACGCGGGAGTTGTTCAGGATGCCCCCGTTACCCACCACGGCACAGCTGACGCACTGGGGGCTCCCAGCAGGGAGGTCGGCCAGGAGCAGCTGCTGCTGGGCCACCGGAGGGAAGTGTGTCACCACCTCCTGCACCACTGGAACAAGGGCGACCCTCCATTCAGAGCCCGGGGGTGGCCAGGGATCCTGGTGCATCATTTCTCCCAGGGCTGGTGGCCCCCAGGGAAGAGGCAGATTCAAGACCCAGAGCTCCGGCCCAGTGCACAGCCGGGTTCCTGGGGGTGGTACTCACAGGAGTAATTGAGCTCCATGAAGCCGAAGGGGGGTGGGAAATGCTCCAGGCGGTCCCACTCGCTCTGGTTGAAGCGTCTGGAGTCCAGGAAGAGGGTGAGGTTGGGCAGAAAGAGCTTCTGGAACCAGCGTGACTTGGAAGCTCTCACTTTCAGAGAGTCAGGGCAGGTCTGAATGCAGGAGGGCAGGTCAGGCAGGGCGGGGTGGGGAGGACCACGGTGGGGGTGGGGACAGGGGTGGGGGTGGGGGGCTGGGCTGAGTGGTGCGGGCGGGGGGGGGGGCCCAAAACTGGCCTTGGAGCCCAGAAGGCGCTGCCCCTGCTGCCTTGGCCATCCCTTTGGCAGGCCTGCCGTGGTCCGGAGGCTGCCCTTGGCCCTCAAGGTAAGCACACCCTTGTCAAGTGTGAGGGAAACGCAACAGCCTGAGGCGTGTGCGTGTTCTCCCGTGCTGTCGTATGTGTGGTTGCAACCGTGTGTCATCAGATATATTTTCAATGTCGTCCGCCTACGGGTGTTTTTCTCAGGGACGGAAGAGAGGGGCGCTGGTGGAATTCTCTCTGCAGAGGGCGAGGTGTTCCCAGGTGGTGCTAGCGCTGGGCACGGGGTTGGGTTTCTGGTCTGTTAGTCTCTGCCCGCCTCGTCCCTTACCCTCCCAGAGAGTGGGGATCAGGTGTCAAACCCCAGAACCGGGCTGCGCTCTGTCACCCTGATGGATGACCCTCCGGGCCTCGCAGGAGCTCTTTCTCACTCACACCTTCCCATGCTGCCTGGGCTGGGATTTGGGTTCGGGGGCCTGCCTTCTCCTCCCTCATTTGGGCCACAGGGAAGGAAGGATGGGGTGGAGCCTGGGAGCTGAGGGAGAGGGTGGGGGCAGGCTGAACGCCAGGAGGGGCGTCAGAGCAGGGGGGCTTAGGGCAGGGGCCGGGGAGAACTCACCGTCTGTAGGCCCCCCACGTCGAAGCTGTAGTTTTCCTCGAACTCCCACTTGGGCTCCGACTTGAAGCTGGCGGCCTGCAGCCTGGGGCGCCTCCGTGTGGTGAGGCCCTGGGAGGGCGCGGAGCTGGGGGTCGGCTGGGCTGGCCGCTTGGGCGGGGCCGTTGCTGTGGCCCCTCCTTTCGTCTTCCTCGCGGGTGGCGCTGCTGCCCTGGTGGTGCGCACCTCAGCCCGACGTTCCGGAATGGGTGTCGGGGGCTCCTCGGGCACTGTCCTCGTGGCTGCTGGCCTTTCGTTCTTGCCCCCCCTTCCTCCCGGGGTCCTCGTGTCCTGCCTCCTCGGCCACAGTGCCTCTGTCCTGTTGGAGGCCCTCCCCTTGTCCTGACTTCTCCGGGACAGCATGTCCGCCGTGGTGTCATTTCTCTCTGGACTCTTGACCGACGCCGTCCTTGCCGTGCCAGGTGCTCTGGCTTCCGTGTGGCCCGTGGCCTGCGGGCGCTGCTGCGGTGCGCCGCTCCCCTGCGCGGACCCTCCACGGGCAGGGGTTTTCCTCTCCACGGTGGGTGCTGGGGGCGTGGCCTTCTGCAGCAACTCTAACGCCTGTTCTTTAACGTTCTCTGTATCCTGAGGCCTGCAGACAGAGACAACTTTTGGTGGCGATTATAGAAGCAGGTCAGGGGGTGACCAGGTCGTCCTCGGGCTGCAGGCCGACTGCAAACCCGGCCTCTGTGCTGGCTCCTCCCGGGCTCCCGAGGGCACCGGGTCCTGGACTGGGAATTCTGGAGCCAGTGTGTGTGGCCCTGGTCCTGTCACCTCACAGCTGCCTGATGCAGTCGACCTTTTATCTCTTAAATGAAGCACAGGGAACAGAGGGAACCTTGTGCAAAGAAAATGGGAAAGACGCATCTATGTTGAGACTAGAGCTGCCGACCCCGACTTTGAAATCGAGATCTCTGAGAAGGGCCTGCCGTGCAGACTGACTTCCGACACTGTGTATAGACCGACAGTGTCTCGCTGGCCTCGCCCCGAAGCCCTTTCGCACTCAGAAAGTGCAGGTCCAGAGCTCCTCGTGCCTGCCATGCGCTGCCATGTTAGATGCTGGGGATGGTGAAAGGCGTGTTTCCCAGCCACAGGCAGGAGGAACTGCAGTGCGGGGCCCGTTGTGTCATTAGGATGCGAAACACGTGTTGGACCCTGGCCGGTGTGGCTCAGCGGGTTGGGCGTCAACCCACAAAGCGAGAGCTCGCAGGTTCAGTTCCCTGTCAGGGCACATGCCGGGGCTGCGGGCTTGGCCCCGGTCAGGGAGGCCTGCAAGAGGCTGCAGGTTGATGTTTCTGTCTCTCGCATAGATGTTTCTCTCCCTCTCTTTCTCCCTCCCATTCCCTCTCTCTAAAATAAATGAATAAATAAAATCTTAAAAAAACAAAACCAACCCAAAACCTGTCGCCTTAGAGTAGGGGGCGCACGTGTCATCAGCTCAGTGGGTGTGAAGGAAGGGGTCCTGTCTGGGCACCAGGGAAGCGAGGAAGGCTTCCCAGGGGGGCTCCCCTCCAAAGGGCGTTAGGGGTGCGGGGGAGGAAGTCTCAGTCCCGGGAACGTGAAAATGCACGGTGTGTGGGAGCTGCTGAGTAATGATGAAGCGGAGTGGGCTGGGGCAGCGCTCGGTCCCCCACGGGCAGGCAGGGCCAGGTCATTATCAGCGTTCTGTGTCCGAGGGAGGACTTTACACTCGACCGTCTGTTTGCCCATCCAGGGGGAGCGATGGAAGGATTTCCAGAGGGAGGCTGGGGTCGGGGGAGGGGGCTGAAGGGCAGGGCGGGTCACACAGAGATTCCCACCCAGAATGCTTTCTCCAGCCCCCGCGGAAGATGGATCGTGGTGGCTGGCCTGACTCCCAGCACTCGAGGTCCGGGGCTCCAGGGACTGGATCCACTTTATTTTCTGCTTTATTGTGAGGCTGTCAAAGGTATCAGTTTGTGCAAGTTTGTGTCAGGTGTTCTGCTGAGGAAAACATGGGGCCCCTGCTCTGCACAGTCCTTCAGCTGGACTTCCTGTGTGGGGCCCCCATGCTGCACGGGTCTGGGGGACGCCAGGAGCCTTGGATGAAAGAATCTCCCTCTCTCGTGACCTAACCACGATGCAGATGGATTTCCAGGTGTCCTTACTCTTCCCTGGGCTGGGGCTCCCTCACCTGGCTTGGTCTCTCGACCCGAGCTCCATCCTCCATTTCCGCCACTCTCGTGCTAAGCCACACGTAACAGCCTTACTGAGGTTGCGCGGGGGGGGGGGGAGAGCGCACGCAGCGGGCCGCCAGGCGGACCGAGGGAGCACCCCCGCACCTCCGAGTATGAGCCGCTGTGACCGGGAGAAACCTTCCGACCTGCCCGGCCCTCGGGGGTCTTACTATGTGTACCATGTGCTGTGGCTGCTGCTTCTGAGAGGAGTCCGCTGTCCGCGTTAATGGAAAGCAGGTGCTGCGCCCCTGGCACAAAATACAGACTCAGCCAAAAACTTCCCTCCCTCCTCTCCCTTTCCCCCAGAGGTGCCTCGTTTCCTGCCGCCCCTGACTCTCCCCGTGCGAGCTGCAGTTCTTGGGGCTGCTTTATGATTTATGGAAAGTCCTAGCAATGACCCAGGTAGAGACAAAATTGTGTTGCTACATTTCACGTCAGTTTCCTATAATTAAACGCACCTGTGATCGCTAGGGAAGTGAGCCTTGACATAGGCATTACCGATTCCCAGGTGTGGCCGTTACTGAATATTCTAATTGCCTCCATCCGCAGATTGGGTGCCCTGCGTCTGTCTTGGCCGGAACTTACACACCATGGGCTGGGTGAGGGTGGGGTGGGGAGGGGAGCATCTTTTTTCTGTTAAGAGTCCCTGGTTCCGAGGGATGGGCAAATCAATCGCAGATCACATCCAAGCCAAAAGCAATTTAATATCGCCATCTCTTTGGGAAGTAAAAAATCTAAGATATCACACTTTGAAAAATAAACATGTCAGTCCTGGCTGGTGCGACCCAGTGGATTGAGTGCTGGCCTGTGAACCGATGGGTCACTGGTTCGATTCCAGGTTGGGGTACGTGCCCAGGTAGTAGGCCAGGTTCCCAGTTGGGGGTGTGTGAGAGGCAAACCAATTGATGTACCTCTCACATGTTTCTCTCCCTTTCTTTCTCCCTCCCGTCCCCTCTCTCTAAAAGTTAATAAATAAAATCTTTTTTAAAGGTTTTATTTATTTATTTTTAGAGAGGAAGGGAAGGAGCGAGGGAGAGAAATATCAATGTATGGATGCTTCTCCTGCATCCCCTGCTGGGAACTGGCCTGCAACCCAGGCATGTGCCCTGACTGGGAATCGAACCACGATCTTTTGGTTCACAGGCCCGCACTCAATCCACTGAGCTACACCAGCCAGGGCTAATAAATAAAATCTTTAAAAAATAAATAAATCGTAGAGGTGAGGCCAGCCAGGGGTGTCCAAACTTCCGGCGTCTCTGGGCCACACTTGGAGAAGAAGAGCTGTTTTGGGTCACACATTAAGTACACAGACACTAACAAAAACAAAAAAATCTCATCTGTTTCAAGTACAGTTTGCAGTTTTCTGTTGGGCTGCATTCGTAGCCATCCTGGGCCACAGGCCACCTGTGGGCCGCGGCCGGACGCCCTTGGGAAGCTTCCTGCAGATTCCCAGTTTAGGACGTTTGGGCGAGGGCGGCAGGGCTGATGGACGTCGAGTCTCAATGTTCTCTGCGGAAAACTAGAGACTAAGTTGCTCACGTTCACTATCTGACTTTGCCCAGCGGAGGGCGTGCTCGTCCCCGCAGGAGACTTTGTTTTGTTCATTTCTACGGCCCCAGCACAGGCCTGGCACAGAGTGGGGACTCCATACATGTTTGTGAATAAACTAATATGAATATATATATGTATATTAAAACTCTCAGTCTATACAAAATAACAAGAATGGTTTCCCCCTGACCCCCAAATTCAGTCTAATTCAGTTTAAACCTCCAGATGTCATGAGTTCAAAGCTCTTTTCCTATCCACTCCCCCCCCCCCGCCCTGCGCACACACACGTCTACCCCCAGCCAGGCCAGAGCTCAGAGCTCCGGTGGGCGAGAGGTGGGGGAAGCTGGAAGGAGGGGCAGTAAGAATTACCATTCGACTGTGAGAACTGTCGCTTCCTTTTGAAAGCCTAGCTCTACCGGTGTGATCGCTGAACTGGCCACCTGTCGGGGGTGGGGGGCAGCCGTCTCAGCTAGCACTGAAGTTCATGGGTGTCTGTCTGATGCTGATGTGGTGGACTATGCAGGGTCAGTGAATGTGGTTTTCCTTGGGGACAGGGGGCGGGCACTCCTTTGTACTGAGGACCTCCTCACGAAGGTCCCACGCGTCCCTCCTCCCCGACAGCATTCCGTGTCCCCAAACACTTTTCTGGAGTGGACGTCCCATCCCTTGGTCCCAGGAGGCAACTGGGTGGTTCTGGGGCTCTGATGGCTCCATGGTACCACGGACATGCTGAGTGGCCCTCCACGGGACCCTGGGCTGTGAGGACCCCGGGCTGGGCAGGAGGGCGGGGCCTTCTTCCCAGCTACATTGCACCACGGACGACTCCAGCCACCTTCCACCTTCAGAAACCTCTACACTGGAAAACGGTCACTGGGCTACTTGCCTCTCCCTGTCACTCCGGGGCCTGAGGCATCGGCTGGGGAAGGAGACCAAGGTGGCCTGGTCAGGTGAGTTGGTGTCCTTCAGCCCAGTCCCACCCCCAAAGGGTCTCGCCAGAAATACTGGAACCCTCTGAGCTTCTCTCCCTCCCTCATCTTCTTATTTAAACTAGATTGAGTTGGGTTTTTATCACTTGCAATTGGAAGATTTCCGAGATCTCAGAAAGATGGCGGCGCAGGCAGACATGACTGGTCTCGTCGCCCAACCACATCAGAACTACAACTGAAATACAGAACAACCACCACTCAGAAACATCAGAAATTGAGCTGAATGAAACTCTGACAACTATAGAATTACAGAAATCACATCCATCAAGGCCGGTAGAAGGGGTGCCCACTCGAAATGCGGTGGTCTCTCACCCGCTCATGGTGGTTAAAAATTCGGGAGCGGTGTCCCAGGAGCGAGGGGTCCCAACCGCACACCAGGCCCCCAGCTCAGGGGTCCAGTGCCAGGAAAATAAGTCCCCACAACTTCTGGCTGTAAAAACCAATGAGTTGGTGGGAGAAACTGCCAGAGCCCTGAGCACTTCCTCTTAAAAAACTCACAGTCAGACTCACCTACTCAGACTCACTCTCTCTGAGCTCCAGCTCCGGGGTGGCAGCTGGAAGGGCACCAGTGGCATTTGGGGACAGGCTGAAGTGCCTGGCATCAAGGTGGGCAGAGGCCATTGTCCTTTTCTAAGTCCTCCCTTCTGCAAAGCCAGGGAGCTGGCAGCCTGGTGCCAGGTCCCAGACTCCACCAACCAGGCTGACACTGCTCGACCCGCCTGGAAGATCCCCAGACACTGCCCCACCCAGATTACGGGCCCCCCCAAGCTGCTTTTCCATTTGAATGGCTGGTCTTGTCTCATGCTTCACAACTTTCTAAATCCTATCAAACAAGCAACAGCTGGTCTCAGTGAGCCCCAGGCCCTAGCAGCAGCCAGCCTAGATTCACAGCTTGGCTTCACCTGGGAATCTCCAAGCCCAGCACGGTAGCAGCCACCTCAGATGGCTTTATAGCTCAGGAACGGCAGCCCCAGGCAAAGCACAGGTGCAGACTGACCTTGGCCTGCTCCACCCAGGAAACCCCAGGGCCAGCGCACTCAGTGGACAGCTACAGGGCACATTAGAGCACTACCACCCTGCCCCTGCACAGCTGATCCTCCACAGAGGGTGGACGCTGGTGGTCAGTGGGCACAGCCAGTCCTTGCAGCTCACTGGCCTGGGCAAATCCCTCCCACTGACCTGCCGCCAACAACAACTGAGGCTCAACTACAAGAGGAGGGTGCAGTCAATCCACACAGAGTGCGCACCTCAAGTACCCACAGCTTGGGTGATAGGGGAGGCTGTGCCACTGGACACTACAGGACACCTGCTGCATTAGGCCACACGACCAAGACAAGGAGGCATCGCTGCCCTCCCTAATACACAGAAACAAACACAGGGAGGCTGCCACATGAGGAGACAAAGAAACATAGTCAAAGTGAAAGAACAGACCAAAACTCCAGAAAAAGAGGTAAATGAAATGAAGACAAGCAACCGATCAGATGTAGAATTCAAAACCCTGATTATAAGGATGCTCAAGAAACTTAGTGAGGACCTCAGCAGCATAAAAAAGACCCAGTCAAAATGAAGGATACACTAATTGAAATAAAGAACAATTTACAGGAAAAAATAGTAGAGTGGATGAAGCCGAGAATGAAATCAATGACTTGGAACGTAAGGACGCAAACGACAGCCAATCTACTAGTAAAGATGTTAGGAGACATTATGAAGGATACTTTATATGACTTTGGGCTGGGGACAGAGTTTCCTAAGAACTGCACCAAGTCCAGTGGCCATAAAGGAAAAGACAGACAAATGTTATGTGTATGCAAATCACTCATATATCACACAAGATAAACGACACAACGAAACAAGCCCCCTCCACCCCGAACGCCAGGCTGGAGAGAACACGGAAATACCGGTCCAAATATAACCAGACAGGGCGGATAGTCCTCATACACAGAAAGGCTCCCATGAATCAGAAAAATAATTTAATTTTTTAATAAAGCAAAAGATATGAACAGGTTGTTCATTACAAAATACAAATGAGTCATAGACTTAAGAGGATCCTCAAATTCCCCAGAGGCCTGAGAAATGCAAACAGAAAAGGGAAACGCCCTGTCCCATGTCAGAGGGTTCAGTGTCAACATCAGCGATGCCCAGGGTCACCACAGAGGACAGAGAGTTAATTCTCACGCTGGTTCATGGAGCCTTTTCACGGGCTGATTCGATGGTGTCATTGACATGCAGTGTGAACATAGCCATTATCTTGGCAATTCCACTTCTAGAAGCCTACCCGGAGACATGCTCAGGTAAGCACACAAAGGTACGTGGAAAATGAGTGGCCACCCTAGTGTCAGTGGAGAGGAACTAGTTAAAGAAATTGTATCCAGTCGACAGAACACTACACATCCATGAAAAAGGAGGGAGAAGAGCTGCACACGCCGGGGGAAGGATATCCGTGATGCAGCGTTGATTTAAAAAGCAATCCAGACGGCACAGTGAAGAACCACCGATCTCCTCTCCTCTCCCTCCCTTCCTCTCTCTAAAAATAAATAAATGAGTAAATAAAATTAAAAAAAAAAAAAAAAAGCTGACCCGTGGAACAGGTGCATCTGTCTATCATCCGCCTCTCTCTCTGTTGACCTACCATTCACCCATGAAGTGCAGTATGACATAAAGAGCACAGGCTATGGAACCGAAACGCTGGGTTTGAATCCTGGCCCTGAAACTTATTAGCAGGGTGAACAGGGTGTGGGTAAGTCACGGAGGCTCGGTGTTTCAGGATAGACATCATCGTCAGAATTTACGATCGTGCCTGGCATCTAGAGAGTATTATAATCACATAATAACGATGCATACACCCAGATATAAAGAGGGGTCACCCCAGAAGAGTGGGCGGAGATCGGGTGTATGTAACGGAGAGGCCCCCACTTCTTGCTTCGCCTTTCTGTATTTTTTTTAAACTTCACAAGAACCTGTATTACTTTTAAATTGTAAGAATTGTGAAACAAGATGTTTAAAAATTGAGTCGAGAGCCCTGGCTGGTTTGATTCCCAGTTCAGGGCACCTTCCTGGGTTGCAGGCCAGGCCCCCAGTAGGGGGTGCACAAGAGGCAACCACACATTGGGGTTTCTCTCCCTTTCTTTCTCCTTCCCTTCCCCTCTCTCTAAAAATAAATAAATAAAATCTTTTAAAAAATTGAGTCTAGAAAGAACAGGGTCCCTAAGAAAACTGGTCTAGAAGATCCCTTCAAAGGATTAACTTGGTGCCCAGAATGTAAGCGGCAGCCAGAAGTGACAGATTTCTGAAGGAAGGTGTGATCTGAAATGAACGGAGACTGGCAGGTAGGAATTATTAACCCCAAAGCCGCTCAGCGAACTCACGGTCCCAGATCGGGGAGAACACTCTTGCTTGGAATCTCTGCCTTTTGGAGACAGCTCAGGAGTTTTAAACTCCTGCCTGCGTTTCCTCGGCACACCAGCCCCGTGGCCTCGGGGGCCGCCTCGTCGTCCCCCAGGCTTCCGCTTGGATTGTTCTCGGCACTGGTTCTTGCTCCCCGACACCCATGTGGACACGGCGATGTCACGGAGTCCCCCAGATCTCCCCCCAGAGTTCCCATTTCCTCTAGTAAGTGAGGGTGAGCCGGGGAAGGGTGGGGATCTTACCTGGTGTTAGGCTTTGTGTTAGGTTCCTTGACGAAGGAGGACAGGGCGAACAGGAAGAAAATCAACACGACTGCAGTCAAGAGCCAGAGAGCTTGGCGCAGGCACCCGGGACTCGGCAGGTAGGACCTCATGGCGGTGGGTTGGGTTCTCGGGAAACCCGAGGTCCTGCAGCTCCGACACGGGATGGACCGCGGTGGGATGGACCGCTGGGCTATCCTGGGTGGGGAGTACACACACCTTTGTCCTCCTGGGAGCCACTCTGATAAACACCGAACCTCTGCGCCCTTGCCAGGGGGCGAGGAGCCGCTGTGGCTGCTTTTATGGAGGATTACGGGCTGGCACGACCGGGGAAAACCTCTTTTGTTCGAACAGGTTCCCGTTCCTTTCTGAGTCTCGGAAGCCAGTTTCTGAATGTGAAGCTTTATGAGAAACACATGAGATGGACCCTCACATTCATTCGGTCCCCAATCCTGGGGCACCCTGGACAAGGGCATGGGCTGACAGAGCCTTGCATGGCCTCCACACCCAACGTGAGTCTCAGGGGAAAGATAGGGGACCCTTTGGGGCTGGGACCCCCGCGTGATCACTGCCCTGAGAGACCGTCCTTAGCATGTAGAGGAACAGCTGTCAATCTTGGGGTCGCGGCAGAGTCACCGGGGGGCCTTGGAGACGTCCTGATGCTCAGGCTGCACCCTAACCAATGAAACCAGAATCTCTGGGTGGGTGTCTTCCGGGTGTGGGTGCTTTTCAGTTCCCGGTGACCTAGTTGTGTGACCTTGTTGAGAACTACCGACTTATTGGTGTTGGAGAACTGTCAGGTGGGTCGTTATAAATGAGCAAAGTTTGCTTTGCAGCGCGCTTATCAGGACCTGGCACCAAGAAGCCTGCCTCCTGAACTTCCCGCAGTTGGGTGACCTGCCTCCTTCCTGTAACTTTGGATGAGCTCCTTACATTTCTGGGCTCACCTACAAATGGGAAAAGCGGGGCATCTACCTTGTGCGATTATGATGAAGGTGCTATTGAAGGGCGGCACCCGCCCTTCAGTTCGGCCTTGTCACCTGCAGACAGGAGCATGGCCATGACCTGTATACCTGCAGCAGGTGCACCCAGAGCCAGGCCGCGTGGCACCCATGCAGACCCCCAGCCTCTCCAGAGTCTGGGCACTGTCAGCAACCCCACTTCAAAGTCAAGGGGATTGCCTCTAGGGACGAGCAGCTCGGCCAAGGTCGAAGAGTGAGCCTCTGGCTTGGGGACCACGTTCCGCTGACCTGGAGGCTTGTCCTCCCCTGAAGCACAGCGCACCTCTGAGAAACCGTGTACTCTGCCTTGATATGAAAAGCAAAATACCTAACACTAGCGGTGAAGGGACACCTCGGAGAAATGACGTGGAAATCAGCCGTAGAAAAGAGCACATTCAGAGAAGCAGCAGGTTATTCAGTTTAAAAATGTTGCTCACAGCGCGTCCCACAGGTACTGGAAAGCAGGTGTGTTCAAGGAGCGAAGGTCGCAGGTGTGTCCTGGAGGGGTGGGGCTCTGAAGGTTTTGGGAGCCGGCCCACCGCTCACACCGGGCCTCTTCCGTTCCTCTGAACACGGCTTTCGATGCTGGACCCAGAGTCCTTGGCCTTGCGTGGGGGGGTGGGGGGAGGGTACACCGAGCAACGCTTAAACAACCTTCTCCAAGGGGGTCGAAAAGGTCAGAACGTGCTTCCGACTGGCTGAGAGGAGCCCAGAGCACTGACAGGCGTCCTGTTCCCACCCCGTTTTTTCTTTGTCCCCGCGGCACCGCTGGGGGGGAGGGGCTGCGAGCGCGGGGGGGGGGCAGGGGGCGGGGCGGGGAGCCGCTGCCCAGGTGGCTCAGGTGCAGCCGCTCCTGGCTCTCCAAGCGCACCTGGCCTGTCGGCGCTCGCTCACAGGTTCCCTAAACCTTCTCAGCAAAGTCATCGCTCTGCCGTAATGGACCCTTCTCACTGGCTCTGCCTGCACACTTGGCCAAGCAACTGCCCTCCGCCCTGGTGCCGGTGAGCACTGCCACGCCAACCAGGTGCACAGTGGGAAGGCGTTTTCTTACCTACAGCGTTGGTTCCGACTCAACCCAGCGTCTCTCTCACCTCACCGGTGTCTGAAGAAGACACGGGCTCTCAGTGTTCTGACCCCCACAGAGCGTGGCAGTCTGTTGACCTCCAGAGTGTAAAGCTTGGGCACAGCCTGTGCTTCTGCACCCTCCAGGGAGTGTTGAACTTGGGCGTTCAGGAAGCCAGCTGGGGAAGGTGGGATCATCCTGAGTTCTAGCTTCCTGGTTCTCGGCGTCCAGCCCAGAGCTGCGTCCTGTGTGACTGAGCCCAAGGGGAGAGATGAAGAAATACAGATTTTAGTGGAAACGGACTTTCCGATAGTTTTTTGAACATCATCCCAATTTGCATGTTTGGTGAGGTCTGCTTTCCTTTTTAAGCTAAAGCTTCTGACTTCAGTCTTTTTCTGTTCTCTCTTTTTTAATGCACCAGCCAACAGGCTGCGTGAGAGCTTATATGCAGAGACACGCCCTCAGAGGGTGTTCGGGGAGAGGTCAGACTGCAACCCTTAGGCAGACAGGAAACATGAAAATGTGTTACAGAGTTTCTTCTACCCGAGACAGGACCAGGCAGATGGACTAGCTGATGTAAAAGGGAAGTGCAGTAGCACCCATGAACAGAGAGGAAGCATTATGAAGTCGAATTGCAAGCTGGGGCAAAACTGGATTTTCCACAGAGAAGAGGGCATTGGCAGGGCCCTCGGCCACACACAACTTTGCGGGGAGGTCAAACAGCCGTGAGAGGAGGGGAGGTTAAACCCCGCTCACCTGGAGGAGGGCTGCTCTCCCGCTGCCAATGCGGAGCAGGCCTGGGTGCAGCCTGGGGGTGCCTGCGGGCGGCTGCCCTCCGGAGCCACAGGGATCAGTGTGACCCTGGGACGGGACGCTCTCTGATGGTCTCTTTCCCTGGTCTCTCTGGGACACTTATGGCTGGTCTGCTGTTTTGCTTGTTTCTACTGGTATCATACTCAAAATGTGCCGGTCCCTGAAGAGCCCCCAACACCCACAGCAGCCAGACACTGTCGCTTCTGCCTTTGAAGACACAGGGCACACGGTGAAGAAGCCTTTCTCTGAGGCCCGAACAGTGTCATTCACGAAGGCCCGCGTGGACAGGTAAGGGTCATGCTGCACCTGCACTGAGCATGCGGCCCACGTGACACAGGTGCTCACTGCTCCTCAATACGTTTGTGTTTGTGATACGGGGCCTTCTGAAGCACAAGGTCCGGCCCTGGCTGCTGTGGCTCCGTGGATTGAGCACTGGCCTGTGAACCAATGGGTCTCTGGTTCAGTTCCCAGTCAGGGCACATGCCTGGGTTGCGGGCCAGGTCCCCAGTAGGGGGCGCATGAGAGGCAACCACACCCTGATCTTCCCCTCTCTTTCTCCCTCCCCACCCCTCCCTCTAAATAATAAGTAAGTAATAAAATCTTTTAAAAAATAAAAATAGAGCACAAGGTGCAGAGAAGGAACTCTTCTTGCCTGTGTCTAAAGGGGACACTACCCTGCACTCCCCTTTGGCCAAACCGTCTTCATTTTCCTGGCTAGAATGCCCTGGTTCCGAAAGACACAGTACGTGACTCTAACAGGCTCCCTTGGCATAGACGTTTCATGGAAGTTTCTCAGAGTAATTCAAAGGCGAAAATAATGCTGTTTGGTGAAGAGGAAAAAACAGGGCTGTGACTCATGGCCTTAGGGCTCAAGGCGGCAGCAGAGGATGAAGGGCGCCCCAGGCAAGGACTCCACGGTAACTGAGCTCTCTGGTCTTTCCAGGGCGCAGAGTGCTCTGCCCCCTGGACGGTCCTGGCTGGCAGCGGTGCTCGTCCTGGAACCTTGAACCTGGGTTAGAGGCCTGCTGAGAGCCCCCGGGCTGCTGTGCGCTCTTCTTCCAGGCCCCGGGAAGGCCAGGTGAACCCTAACGAGCTTGTCTGATGACATTTCTTCAGTCTCTGCAAGACACCGATATTGACAAAAGAGCCCTTGTTCATTTTATGAGATCTCCGCTTTCCCTTCTCCCGCACCTGTGAGTCGTCTAACCTCTCACGTCCTCTCTTTCTGGGGGGCTCGGTCTGGTGGAAGGAGGTGGATACCGCAGTCCAGTGTCGTAGTAACAAGAGCTACCCAAAGGAAACATGGCATGAAATCTAAGGTTTTGTTGGTGAATTCGTTTATTTTTCATTTATTAACAGATTACTATATACTGGACTCCTGGGGTAGGAATGATAAACCGGTGTGTGACTATGTGACAGAGGACATACTGGCTACTGAGACTTCCAGGAGGGGGACCTAACCAGTGTGGGTGCCAAAAGGTTCCCCGTGCCACGGTCCCAGCATGGCCGGTAAGGCCCCCCGGGGAACCTGGGACTGGGACACAGCCAGGCAGCCTCGGGAAGCTGGGGCTGAGATTTGAGCAGAAAAACCACCCTGGCCACCAGAGCCCTTTGGGGAAGGGCTGAGAATCCGTGAGTAAACTGCACTGTGTCCGCCCACAATGGTAACAATTGTGGTGAAGGCGCCTTTTGGAGAGGTTTCCTGGCTTGGCAGGAGACTTATTTTTAATGCTATTTCCTTGACACCAGGCAGTGTCTGGGCTGCGGGCATAGTGTTGGGCAACACAGAGCAAGTCCTGACCCCCGGGGTCACCCTCCTAGAGCCGAGACAGAAGGAACCCCTTAATTCCGTAGCAATTGGCGCTGTGAGGAGAATGAAGGGGGGCGAGCTGTGCCGGTGGTGTCCTCTCTGCAGTGTGACCAGGTGAAAGGAGGAAGCAAACTACGGGAGTGCTGGCAGGACCTGGGCCAAGCCACAGAAACCAGAAGTGCACGGTCTCGAGGGAGGCGCCCGGATAGTGCTTGTTAAGTCCACTACAAAGTGAAGCAAACCGAGGGGAGGAGGGCGGGGGGTAGCTAGTGTGCAATGGAATCAAAACCAATGACCCAGACAATCTCTCCACTGTGAGGGAGGTTGAAAGAGAAAGAAAACAACTTTATTGTTGAGTGAGCATTCGACCAGGGTCCCAGGTGCGCTCCCCAAGATGATCACGGGATGAAGACAGCTTGACCTTTCACACAGGTGGTCTGACATGACCCCTCCCACACACATCTGCCAACTGAACCACCCCTGGTCCTCAAGTGGGAAGACGTGACTATGGGGCTCCTCACATGCAGAATCCGTCCTACCTTCGCTGGGCAGTTGGGGTCACATTTCAAAGTGAATGAAATGGTCCTTCTGGTCCTTAAGAAAGGTATCCCAGGGTCTGGCAAGAGGTTGCTCTAGCTTTAAAAAGATTCATGTACACTTCAAAGACGTGGAAAGAACTCACAAGTTTTCTAAAGCAGATGCTCTAATGGAAGTCTTCTGTGTCAGGGTATATTTATTGCTTAGTTTTAATCAGAGTTCGGGTTTTTTGTCACCTGTTTACACAGGTGTTCTGACACTCCCCCAACCTCCTAATGCTCTGTGCCTGCATTTCCTGTGCATGTTAATAATGCCAGGTAAGAAAAAAGCAAATACAAACCTCCTCAGCCATTAAATAAAACAAAATCTGTCTGAAAAAAAAATGAGTAAGAAAACT